GAAAGTCAATTTAGCAAACACACTCTTGAATGTGTTTGAACATATTTGTCCTGAGGTTGCTTTAAGATGACTATTTCAAGTGGCATGCAGATTCTTTGGGGGTTTTGATGTTATAGTTGAGGTATGCAAAGTAAAAGTGCATAACATTTCTTTCAACTGGTTCTCACATGACAGAAATGAGAAGATGAAATTACTCTTCTTTAAAGTTTTGCCACTGGGAAATGATAAGCAAAACTCCTCTCGACCCCTACTCCCAACCAGGAAGAGTGTGAAGCCCCGGATTATAGCACAGGTAGATATTAAAATGGAGACAGAGCCGTTATTTAGTGGTGACAGGAATATAAATACGTGCACTAACCTATAAACTGGTATTTACTTCAGGAAGGTAAGTAATATTTTTCCTCTGATTGCTGAGCTGTCAGTTTAATGCAGCGTAAATAAACAGTAGGTGCCTGCTAGCTCGAAGTAGGAAGTGTTCATTCCACACGAGGAACAGATTACTGAAGCCTGATGCTCATCATGCTGAAACATAACTTTCATTTTACCAGAAAATATACCCTACCGTGGATGATTTTTCGTGCCTGATCTATTAATTAACTTAACTCTGTTCTGTCAAAATGTAAACCAATTTGTAAAAATCATCACAGAGTTTTGGAGTTTGAAAACCCAATCAATTTGAAAAGCAAGAGTAATGACTGTTTCATAATCTGATCACAAATGCTAAAAATGAATACTTAATATAATAAGCATAAGCTATGTAAAAACCAAAAAAAGACAAAAACATTTAAATAACAGAATTATCTGACTTATCTACTTCAAGTCCTCCTCCTTTGCTCATTAAAAGCAACTAGCACCTTTAATATTTGGCAACCTTGTTGTAGTTTGATCTTTTCCATATGCATGCTTATTTTGCTCTGTGCAATATCTAAAGATAAACCATTCATAAAAAATTAAGCCACACTCCCTAATCCCAATAGAAGAATTCTGAACACTCCTGAGAGAAGTGGCAACTTTGGAGATCAGATGATGACACCCTTCCTAACAGCATTCATATAAAACCTGATTTTCTTCCCATTTTATGAATGCTAGAAAGCTATGACAATATATAGCAGCTACTTTTCCCCTTATATGTGAGTACCGAGCAAAGTGTTTTGTGGTATCATTTAAAATGCAAACTCATCTAAAAAGTATAAAAGGCAATTTGGGGAAGTTTCTATTTAAAACATGAACCAAATTCTGATAACTGATCGATAGACTATAAAGGAAAAGAGGGGTTTTAAAAAAGATTTTTTTTTTTACATTCAACTAGAGTATGTCTAGACATCATCTAAAGATTGATTTCGTCACATGTATTTATGTACTTCATATTAATTGCAGTCATCCAAGACAACATGTATAGAAGAAATGATATATCTCTTTAAAGGGCTTATCTATGTATGGCTCTTCTGGAAATTTACAGAGCAGATGAGAAACCACTAAAGTGCTTTATAGAGTCCCTGCTGTATATCCATGTTGTGTTTAGCTTAATAGTGTTTGTAACCAAAAGATTTTTACAATAATGAGGAACAGGTGCCTGTCACCTGACCTTTTAGGCCTAATTTACAATCCACAACCTGTCACACACAAAAAAAATAATTGAAATTCTACTCTAGAAATTTCAGTCTTTGCTAATGTAACATAGTGTTTCTTAACCATCACTCAGCACATCATATCTTATTCAATCACAGGCTCATATAGCTGGCAACAGACTTCTTGGCAGAAATAAACCAACACTCATTTTGTTGTTGTTCTTGATTAAGATGCTGGGAGACAAAAGAACCACTTTTGTAGGTTATCAACCAAAGAATATATTAATTTATTACAACTGAACAAAAGGCATTCCTCTTGAATACTTTTACATACAAAGAACTATTATTTATTACATATTTCAGCTTGTGGGAAAGTGAGGAATGCATTGATTCTGGAAATAACTATTCAGACTTTTGGAAGTTCTTTAGGTCTTCTTTATCTCCCCTCCACCACCACATTTTAAGGAGCTAGTTCTTCAGGAGGGAAATCCCTGTTCTTTTTCATCCATCATTTGTATTCATTATTCAGAAAGGAATACAAAATTGAGCAGTGGTTTTATTTCTCTTGCATAATCTTGTTACATGTAGCCATAGTCAAATCTAACAATGCTTTGGATTTTGTAGGTACTGTTTACATTTTATGTATAACATGTGACTGAACATAACTCTACATTAAAAATATTATTTCCATTAGAAAAGAATATAAAGTAGCAGGAGTCAAATGTGATGAAGAATAAACATATTTGGTATATTTATAAAAATGTATAGTCATTTAAGATGTACACAAATAGGATACATCTTTTGTTTCTGTTACATGTTACATAGTATGCATACTGTTGGAAGTGTATTTAATAATGTGCTCAAGCAAGTTAATTAAAGTATTTATAACTGGTGATTGTGTTAAACACTTGGAAAGGTAGTGAAAGATACAGTAAGTTACTTCTGCTAACTAAAGTTGAAATTATGCACTTATTATAACCTTTTCTAACAATGTGAGAAAAACAGAGTAAATATATTAAATTTGTTTCACAACAGATGCTTAGGTTGTTAATATTTAAGATGCCTATTCATGCTATTCCTGTCTGCACATTTGTCAAAAATGTAAGCTTGAATGCTAATGTTTGCCAGCAGACTGGAGCAGCCAGTATATGAATGTACTACTGTTCTACTAAAATAATATGCAATAGAAATAAAGGACTGCTGCTAAATCATAGCACTAGTACCACACAAGAGATTAATAAAGGTTTTTAAAGGAAACACCTCAACCTTGGCTTTCTTCAGACTTAAAATGGGAGTTTATTTATTATTTATTTATTTACTGCAGCATCATTCGACTATAGAATAAATTTCACATTCTCAAAAAATTCACTTTAGATAGGGTGTGAATTTCAATAAAGTTTCGACGGGTGAGTTACTCTGTCAACCTCAACAAACACTGTAAATTTCAGGGACTGCTTAGGACAAACCTGACACAGAGCAGAGGCGTTTTACTCATCTTGCTCCTCTCCTCTCTCCTCTTGGAAAAGTCAAGTCCTCTGGCCTCCAAGGATGCAAGCATGGAACCTCAGTCATTCGGGGCAGAAGGGTGGTCTCCAGGGAATCGGGCTTCTTTCTGTTTTCCCTGTCTCTTTTTACAACCAGGTGGAGTCCAAAGTCTTACACCATTTGCCTAGAAATTCGGTCTGCCGCTGAGAAAGTTCACTGAGGAAGGGCGCTGAGGTCAAAGTTGCCAACCAGGGCACTGTGAGAGATGACCCTGTGGTTGACACTTGTAAGTGAAATTTGGCCCTCGTGGAGGCCAGAGCCAAAACCTCCACGCAGAGCTCTACACGGCTCACCTCTCTTGGTCTTTGGGGGTCATCCTAAGAGGGTCCCGCTCAGTGCTTTCCTCCAGTATGCACGTGTTACTTATTCCCTGGACCTGCCACCTGCCTGCTGTGACCCTCTCATTGTGATTTCCCAAAACCCGGTTCTGCCGCCCCGGGAGCTTCTGCAGTGGAGAAGCCCTCGGAGAAGGCCGCTGCGCTCCAGTCAGAACAGTAGAAAGGGAGACGTGCTGCAGACCCCGAGGCTGCACCTGTGATGTCCCGGCCCCGGCTAAGAGGGCAGCACTTCCTCCTGCCTCCAACTCAACTCCAAACCCGCATTCACGCTAGCAGCCCCTCCAGGGCCCACTTCCCCATAGCCAACGAGGGCTCTGAACATGAAGTGCTTGCAAACTCCCGGCTCCAACTTGAGCGCCCCAGTGCCCGAGCGGCTCCCGGGACGAAGAAGTTGCCACAAACTTCCCGGGTCCCTCTCCGCTGCCGCTTAAAACCAGTCGCGCTGGCCGGGAGCGGAGGAAGGTAGAGATGGATTGGGAAAGGATGCTGAGCCGACTCGCGATCTGGCGGGGGAACGTTTCCATCCCCCAGCCCATTCCACCCGGCACCTTGCTGCCTGCCCGGCTCCAGGGCGCACAGAGAGGTTCCCCCTTTTTCCCCTTTGCTTCCTTCTGTCTTTTTTCGCTCCCCCTTTCTCTACTAAAAGGGACCATACCGGTGACCTGAATGAGTTTGTTCAGCCAAGATCTGTCCGGCAGGTGTGTTAGTGTGTCCACACCCTGAGAGAGAACGAATGGCATCTTCAAGTCCCCCATCCCGACCGCTCTCCCTCACTGTACCGACCCACCCCTCCGGGAACCTTCAGCGCGCGGGAGAAGGGCTTGAAGACCCCTGTCGCCTGGCGCCCAGGAGAGGTGAGCTGAGCCGCCCCAACCAGGGGCGCCGAGGGTGGGTGATACAGAGAAGTTTGGATCGATTCCGGAAAAAGACAGAGACGTAGATAAAAGAGCTTAAGCAGCATGAGGAAGGAGAGGCAAAAGAGCAGAACTCACTCAGGCATGAGCGTTGGGGGCAGCGGTGGCTGTCGAGTGCGGGCCCGAGACCAGGAACGGCTCCCCGGGCGGGCGCGCCGGCGTCGGACTTCCGAGGCGGCGGCTACTGCCTCGTCTGCGGCCGCCGCCGAGCTGCGGCTGCCGCGGAAGTTAATTGCAACTTGACTTCAAGTTGTCTTCTTTCCCCATCCGAAGTGGGCGTTTAAAGGGGAGAGCGAGGCGAGGAGCGAGCGAGCGAGCGCGCGGGGCCGAGGGAAGGAAGAGGAGAGGGGAGGGAGGAGATGTTAACGGGGGGGAGGGGGAGGGGGCGGTGGCGGGGGCGGGAGGGGGAAGGGGCCGGCGGGAGCTGCTCTCGGCTCGGCGGTCGCGGCGCCCGCAGTCTGGAGGCGCACCGGAGTGTCCGGGGCGCCCCCCGCGGGAGCCCGCGGCTACCCGGGGCGCGCATCCAGCCGCGGCGCCTTGGGCCGGGCACGCTGCGCCCCCGGGATCTGCGGACCCTGCGCCGCCGCCGCCGCCGCCGCTTCGGAGCTTGTGCTGCGCGGGCTGGCCGGCCGAGCGGCCAGGGCCCGGACCGCCTCCCTGCGCCCGCCGCGGCTTCTCCCCCTGGCGGTGGGAGCCTCGGCGGCCGCCGGCTATACTAGGCGCACTGGAGCCCGAGCCGAGCCGAGCCCGAGCCGCGCCGCCACCACCACCGCCGCCGCCTCTCCCGGGCGCCCTCCCAGCGCGCGGGCCGGGATTGGGGGGGTGCGCCGGGCCGGAGCAGCGAGGGCGGGCGAGGGGGCGCGCACTGGGGTTGGCGCTGAAGACCGGACTCCCAGCCGCGAGGGGTAAGTGTGGGCGCTTGGGAGTGCGCTTGGGGGTGCGCGGCGCAGTTCTCGACGCCCGCCAACCCTGCCCCCTCACCTCTCATGGGCCCCCACCACGGCACCCCCTCCTCTTGCCGCCTGCGGCTTCCTCTTGTTGTTCCTTGTTTGGCTTGGCTTTGGGGGGGGGGGAGAGGAGGGGAGGGTGTAGTGTGTGTGCCAGCGGAGTAGGAAGTCAGGTAAGAGGCTTCGAAGCACCCCCCAACCTAACCTGCGTGGGGTGTATTGCTCCCCACTAGGGGCATGTGGGCCAATTTATTTTTCTTGTCAATATTCGGTTGAGATAATCAGTACTAGAGGGCCTCCTTCCCTTCAGCCTCCTTCTTGGCATTCTCATCCCTCTCATCGCCTCCCCCCATCCAGGAGCCCTGCACCCCAACTGAGGAGCACGTGGCAGAAGGAGAATGAGGGGGCCCTCTCTTGCAGACCCCCACGCTGTACCTCAGTGCATTTGTTTCAGCATTTATCCTCATGGTAGCAGCTGTACTTTTCAACCCACTGGAAGGAGATGCCTAAGCTGATGAACAGTTTCTCCCAAGAAGCTGGGGGCAAAGAATGGAAGGAATGCAGATTTCATTAACTAGTGACTCTGGAGATGCGGGCTAGGGGAACCTTCCCAAATGGGAAAACTCCAAAGATTTCTGAAAGACCAGGATAACTGGAGGCTCAGAAACCCAGGTTAAGAAACTGGAACTGGATCAACCTTAACCCTCTCCCCCCTGCCAACCCTGTCCCCTAGCTCTAAGGAAGCTAACAGGTCTTTTGTATTGTGTCGCCTTTGGAGAATTTGCATAGAGTATGACAACAGCAAATTACTACTGTTTACTCAAAGTTAAGGGGATTGCAGAAAGAGAAAACATGGTTTTTTACTTTTTCTCTTTGTATGCGTGTGTTTGGCAAGGAGTGGAGTTGTTAGGTTCATGGCATGAACTGCAAAATGTCAGTTTATAACAATAAAGACTGTAAAGCCGCCTAGGTATATTTTTAGAAGCTGTACTTTCTTGAGTTCCTTTCACACAAGGCTTGCTCTCTCATTAAGTCCCCATAAATAATTGTATTTAGAAGAAAACTATAGAAGCAGGAAAGAGATTGCTAAGATTTCCATCCTGCCAGTGCAGAGCACTGTTTGCTGGGAAGTTCCTGGAAAGTGACTGTGGGCTGAGAATTCAGTTTTTCCTAAAAGCTCTGTTAGGTCCTCTTCTGTCAGATGCCTATGAATAAAACACGCTGGGAAAATCCTGATATCTGTGCAGTCTTATTTTATCTTTTACACAGTGGTTGATTTGCGTTTCAAGCTCTGGTAACAAACACATCAACTGTGCTGTATTTTTGTGTGGCTTTTCTAAATAAAGGAGAATAGCATGTGCATTCATGCTGCTTTCTGATATGCACCCCCACCTTCTATCCAGGGATATTGAACTTACTGGAATTTACCCATCTTTTTCTATTGATAATCATTTTCTGCAGAGACAATTCCAAAGACACAATACAAAAAAATATGCATTAGTGTTCTTTTGGGGAACTAGCCCCCCTCCCTTTTTAAGATACAAGTGCCCATCTCAAGTTCTAGTTTTATAAAGCAGAGCAGAAAGATACAAATGATTGCAATAGGCAAAACAAAGTAAAACACAAGTTTTCTTTCCTAGATTATTTTCTACCCCACAGGTCCAAGTGATGTCAAATTCTTCTGCTTTAATTTACCAAAATGCTGAATTGTTTAACCAATAGCTCCATCTGAGAAAGACATAGGTTTGGAATTGAAAAAAAATATATTCTCAGACTTTAATTACTGCTTATTAGTAATATCTTGTAACAGGCAGCTGATTCTCCAATTCTGAAAGCCTGAAATGAAGCTTAACAGAAATTTGAAATTCAAAAATAGAATTGCTGTTTTCTCACTTACATACTTATCTACATTCCCAAATTATCAGCTAAGCCCCCATAATTTAAAGTGTGATATACTCCCTTGAGTCAAACCAAGAGAACATTATGCCCCAACCTTTTGAATTTGCCCCCACCACCACCACCACCATAAATAGTCTTAATCAGAGAGCTCATAGGCTCTATTACAATACAGAAGTATGTAATTCTGGGTGCGGTGCATTCAATAGCAGAGTTTGAATTCTTGGGCAATAGCAGAGTTTGAATTCTTGGCATATAGTAGGGGTTCATTAACTACATACTGAACTAGGATATTAGTGAAATATTGTAATTGGCCATAAACTCAATACCACAATGCTAAGACCTTGTTTGGAAGAAAAGAGCATCTAACCTGAAAGTTATTAAATTAATTGCTATGGTCTGCATGTTGGTGTACCCCCAAGATTCATATGTTGGAACCTAACACTCAATGTGATAGTATTCGGAGGGGGGCCACTTGGGTGGAGTTGTCATGAGTGAGACTAATGCCTTTTAAAAAGAGACTCAGACTAGCACCCATGCTCCTCCTACCTGAAGAAGACACTGCAAACAGGTGCCATCTATGAAGTAGAGAACAGATCTTCACCAGACACTGAATCTGCCTGTGCCTTGAGCTTGAACTTCCCGGCCTCTAGAATTCTGAGCAATAAATTTCTTATGTTTATGAATTACCCAGTCTAAGGTATTTTGTTTTAGCAGCATAGACTGGACTAAGACAGTAAGATGCTAGTGCTACTGGATTTTTAAAACAAGTAACTTAAATGGTTGAAAGACAAGAAAATCTGAAACACATCAAATGTTCAATAATAGTAGCTAGTATCAAAGACTGTATTGATTATATTCTTAGAAGAATAGACAGTAAAATATTGCCTACTAAATAATATGAGAAAGATGGAAGGGGAGAGATAATACAGTATTGGCCTTCAGGGAACTTATTTGCTGGGAAAATGACATTAAAATGTGAAAAGACAACTCAATGGATGAGTAAAGGCCTTGAGTTGAAAAAAAATTTTTTTCTTTTAGATTTTTTTTTTCTTTTTAAAGCAGAGACAGTAGAGATCCTGAAGCTCTGGGTTGAAAGGCATTTTTTTTTTCTTTAAGATAATTTGTCATTTTAAACCTTTAGGGGTCATTCAGCATAGACAACTTGAGAAAAGGGAAACTCACCACCTACTCCCCATATTGGCAGGGATTATATCAACAGAATGCTTACTTCAGGGTTGAGCTCAATATATATTGTATGAAGAAATGAATAATTTCCACAGTAGTTCATTCCATCTTTATACAAATTATTACATTTTTTCTTATACTGCATAGAATTGATCTTCCTGAAACTTCCAACCATTACTGTTCTGACATTTGCAGCAAAGAAGAGCAAATCTATTGTATCAGTTAGAATAGGCTGTGCTATGCAGGAGTAACAATTCTGATTTTTAGTAGCCTAGAAACAGCAAAAATTGCCTTCTTGTTTATGCTGTGTGTCTATTGTAGGTCAGTAGATCAGTTCCATGTCTTCCTACCCCAGGTCCCAGGCTACTGGAGCAGTCACCATCTTGGATGTTTCATGTTGCTATGGTAAAAATAAAGCTCACTCTGGAGAGTTTCACACTGAAAGTGGCCAAGAAATGACACACATCATTTGGGCTCACTACTGATCAATTAAGACTAGTTGCATGGTTTCATGGAATTATCATATCATCACAAGACACTGCAGCCTAGCTTGAACCCAAGCATAGGGAGCAATGGTACCCAGCTCGAAGGACTGCCAAACTAGCAGTAACCCTTGTCCTATCACAGCCTGCCAGCTAAACTATTAAAACTCATCGCCTGTGGCTCAAGTCTTCTTTTCTCCAGAGTATACATTGCCAGAAAAGCCACCTGGCTATAGGGAGACATAATTGTAACTTCTATTATCTCTTTGAATCAAGTGTTAAACTCCTACCCATCACCTACATGTGGCACCCTATCAATTTTAAGTCACTCTTACATTTACAAATATCACATACATTTTATTTTCTTTAAGACTTGTGTTCCTGTCGAGGGTACAATGAACAGGAACTTTTAACAACTGTTATCTGAAAATGTCATGATCATTATCAAAATTTACAAGTTGATCTGGAGTAGTTACTTCCCTTATTGTAAACGTCAAATGCTTTATAATATCTTGTAATGCAAAAAATTCTGATGGAAGTATTTGTTCATTTATACTACCTTTTGTTCATTCAATAACTATTCACACTATGCACACCTAGTAGATGCCAGGCACTCTATTAAGGACTGGAGGTATAGATTAAGTATTCTCCTCTTCAAGGAACACATTTTCCGTTTGGGCAGATAAACATAAAAAGTCATTACAATACTTGTAGAGGCACCAAGTGTTATGGGAACACTTAGGAAGAAGCAAATCGAAAGTTCCATGGAAGAACTAACACTTGACCAGGATAAGTGAGATTCCTCTAGATAGAGAGGAAAGTTGAAGGGAGGATATTCCAAACAGACCCGCTTGGACAAAATTTGTTGTTAAGGAAAGGCCGGAAGGAATTCAGTGAGGCTAGAACCAAACAGCTCCAAATTGTGAAGGACCTTGGAGACACTCTCTGGAGTTGGGACATTACTCCATACATCAGGGATTGCAAACTTTTATACCCATCTGGGGCCAAGCATGGATATAAGCGAGCAAAGCAAAACAAGTTAAGACCATGAGCAGTGGTGGGGACTGCTCTAATCCCAAGAATATATTCTGTGTCTAAACCAGAAAGTAAATGCCAATGATGCCAAATGTCAGCTCTCCCAATTTCTGAAGAAATGCTGAAAATTTGGATTTTATATAAAAATTTTAAATATTAAATATTGACAACTTATCCACATGTTTAAGTATAATGGTAGTCCTTAAGCTGATTTTGACCTGCAGGCATGTTTTAAATAGCTTATGTATATATGTGTGTGTTTCCAGTGAAAGTCGAACTCTTTATTAAAACCACCAGAGTGTATTTTAGCTCTATCTATTCAATAGCAATGTGCCTATACTGTCTTGGGGAAATTTAATTTTAAATTTTTTTTCATTTTAAATTTAATTATTGTTCATTTTAAAATTTAGTCCACTAATCCTTATTCTTATTAGCCCCTCTCCTGCTTTGAAGTCATGTTTGCCTGCTACTTAACAATTAGAAATGTGTAACAATACTTCACACTTTCCTATAAATTTTAAAATATTAGAAACACTAGGTGTTCATTCATAAGGCATGCCTTATAGTTTCTTATAAGTTTTGTTCCTAGGGACATTCTAATATTATCCATTTAGTCCATATATTATTCTTATTTGTACTGGGGATTGCCCAGGGGTTCTCTATCACTGAGCTACATCCCCAGCCCTTTTTATTTATTATTCTGACACAGGGTCTAACTAAGTTGCTGAGGGGGGCCTTGAACTTGTGATCCTCCTGTCTCAGCCTCCTGAGTCTCTGGGACCATAGGTGTGTACCACCATACCCAGCCATATCTTTAGATTCTTAACAACTTGGTGGTACATGTCAACAATTTTTGTTCAGCTTTCTTGATTTTTATTATATAATTTATATACCATTAAACCACCCATTTTATGTATTCCAAGAGATTTCAAATACAAAGGGGCAGCATGGGCAAATTATGTTTCGAGCAGACTTGGCAGTAAATGAATATGTAGGTGAAACAGCCTCAGGTATTCAAGTACCTGGATTCTAATCCTACTTCAACTGGTTACTACCCACATGACCTTGATCAAGTCTTCTTATTTCCTTCTGCCTCAATTTCCTCTTTGATATGATGGAAAATAGCAGTGCTCTTCTCTAGGAGTCAATAGTACATGCACAGTGCTTCAACACAGAGTCAGTACTCAATAAAGACTAGCACTTGTTACTTTTATTATTAATGTCATTTATGGAAAAAAATCCTAGGATCTGAATAGGAATAGAAAAGTGAATGGACTGTGTTAGGAGTGGGGTAGAAGTAACTTCCTGGATGAGTCGATGGTGTGCTGGGGATACACAAGTCAAATAATAATTATGGCCTCTATTTCTGGACTAGTTTTCACTTAAAGATTTGAGAAGAAAATATTTTATTTCTATTAAAAACAGAGTTACACACTTGATGAAATTGAATGCGGCATTTTATGTGATTTTCTTAACAAAACACAAGAATCTTTAAAGACCTTTTTGTCTGTTGGAGACTTGGGGAGTAAAAGTGGGTACTGCCTCTGCTTCCTTCTGCTGCCTTCTCTGTCATTTTGGTGCAAATGTTTGCAAATACTAGACCACAAGCACTAGTAACATTTACCTTCAAATTGT